AAAGACATGTTCAGGGAAAATGCTTAAAATGAGCTCACTTTGTTACTTTGAGGCTATGGCTTTAAAATCCCTCCTCCCCAGTACAAAATATTTGATGACAGATGATGTCAAGGAGGATGTTTTGGGCCCAATGAAGATAGTCTAAAAATATACAGGCTGGATGGCCTGCTTCTTCTAGGAATCTGTCAAAATATGAACGCTGAAGAGAACATGAAAAATGGAGAGAAGTTCCTTGAGCCCAGACAGGAGCTGCGTCTTGTGGAGGTAGAGTAGCCAGCTGCATAATATTTAACAGATCATAATAATTATAATTAAAACAGGATACATTTATTGACTTTAATAGACAGTTTTTTTTAATTTTTGTATTTTTTACAAACACACAATTGACATTTTCACTATTTCAGATATATTAGAGAATCTGGTTAGAACTTCTGTAGGGAAGCAACATGTAGCTATCTATAACTAAATGCCATTTCAAAAAGAAGCAGAGTCTGTTAGAAGTTTATCCCTAAATGTATATTTACATTAAAGTTTGAAAAGCACTTACACAGATTGTGCTCTCTGACCATAATGTACTCATATTAGAAATAAAAAATGAAAATACAACATAGTTATTTCACAGCTAGGAGTTTTATAGAGTTCATGACATACTTCTTGCAACCCATCTTTTTGATAAATGTGACTCTAATATGAAAATCAGTTTCTATAATTGGAGCTCAGATTTGTTTTTCCTCCTATCAGTTTTCTAATGACACAATTGCAAATTAGAGAGAATGATCCTAAGTAAATGTACAGTTTGGTAAATAGGTAGAGGTCAGAATAATCAGTATTTTTTTTTTTTTTTTTTTGGCGGTACGCAGGCCTCTCACTGTTGTGGCCTCTCCCGTTGTGGAGCACAGGCTCCAGACATGCAGGCTCAGTGGCCATGGCTCACAGGCCTAGCCGCTCCGCGGCATGGGGGATCTTCCCGGCCCGGGGCAAGAACTCGTGTTCCCTGCATCGGCAGGCGGACTCTCAACCACTGTGCCACCAGGGAAGCCCTCAGTATTTTAATAAGCCTAATAGAAGCCGTAGATGCTCTTGAGAGAAATAAATTATCTGGATATAAACAATCCCAAAGGCATTTCTTGAAGTTCAATTTATGCAGTGATTTATTCATTATGAGCTGATGTAGGCTGATGAGTGGCAGGTTAGTTTTTTAATTCCTTTACATTATTTCATGGAGAATTATAGAAGCATTTATGTCTTATGTTGGAGAATTCCTCACCATATTGGCTATATTAGCTATATTAGTTACACACAATTAAAATACTTTCAGAAATCTGATTCCACACTGAGCTAGAACATATTACATTCAAATATTATCTTTGAACTAAAGCCCAGAAATAGCATAAATAGCAATTATTTAGAAAGAAGTATACTTTGTACATTTCCATTTCTCTGTTATGCCTTGTGGCAAGATGGAAAAAATTGCCATGATTCAGACTTTTCATTTTGGTACAGTCATATGCATAAAAAGATGGAAATTAGAGAAGTACAATAATTTTCAAAATATGTGATATACTGTTAAGTACAAGGGATCTTTTTTCCCCTGAGTATTTGTTATTTAGTGATATTTTTCCAAACCTTGCTGCTCTAGGATTGTGTTGAAATAAAAAAATGTCACTTTTAATATTAACCCTAACTCAAATATGGCTCTGAAATAAATACTATATTGAGATATCAGGAATCTGTCCCCTGATAACTTGCAGAAAATACAATGTAAATACAAGGGAAATCAACTTAAGAGTAAAATTTAAAATCTTGCTAAAGATACAGGATCCTGTGAAACTAACCAAAGTTCTGCTGGGGAATTGCTTCAATCACACTCTATGCCCATGGGGATTGGACAGAGTTAGACTGGTTAAAATGGAAGAAGAGAAAGTCAATAAGAAAATAAAAAACAGAGGCCATTTAAAAGATAATAATTTATATATTAAAGATTAAGAGAGACAATTGGAAATCTGAAGAAGGCTTAAAATAATTTCATTAAAATATCATTAGTCAAAGGAGAAATAAATGATGCAATAAGATAATATGGTGTATGTTGAGGTTGGGGGCATGTTGGAAACCACAAAACTCATAATTTTAAATGTGCTTTTGTGAAACCTCAGATAAACTTTAGAAATGTATATATTTTACTGTTTAAAAATCAATTTTTTTCACCATTTAATGTGAAATCCTGGTCCCCTTTAATCTTGGTTTTGTTTTATACTGTATAACCTCCTGAGCCTCCATTTCATATATATTCATACATACACACACACAAAAATACACATATATACCAAATGGCTTATGTGTAAACAGTTATTGAAATAAAACACATTTGAAATGTAAAAACTTAGGATGCTAAACAGCTCTAGCATGTTGCCTCCTCAAACATAATTACTGTTCGTTCCCCAAAAAGAAGTAGTGTAAAACTGATTTCCCTGTGAAAAGAGCCTTAATTTCTCTAACAGCATACATACTGTGTGTCCACATATGTAGACAAATGTCCACAAAGAATAAAACATCTTTTAAATGTAATATTGGGATGGAGGGTAGGAGGGGAAATCTGCTTATTGGAAGAAACTGTTCTTCCAGAGATGTGTAGTCATGATAGTCAGAAATCTGGAAATTATGCTTTATAATGAATGAGTTAAGAAACTTGGAAATTTCCCATATAAGGGGGAAAAAATTTGACAAAATGAAAGTTATGGTCAAGTGTTTAGGAGATGGGTTGGAATGTTCATTGATTTCTGCAATCAATAGAATGCCATCCAATGAGTGGAAGAAGAAGAGAATAGTTAATAGCATTATAATAACACTATGGCAAAAGACTTGATGCTTTGCAAGTATTAAAAAAGTAATGATGGCTCAACTTAATTTACTTGTTGTCAATAGAGCTTTTGAAATACCAGGTAGGTTGCCTCCTGAAGTTGTGTGCTCTTTAACATTGGATGGGGCCTGTAGAATACAACTCACTACCTCTTGAATACTTTGCTTAAGCCATTCTAGCACTAGAAATTTTGGATCTTTAAGTGAAACAAAACTTTAAAGAGATTTAGTCAGAATCTTCTTTCATAACTGGGTTCATTTGTGGGTCAGGATTTAGACTGACTCTTGCCATGGGAACACTATGTTTACTACGGTATCTACTAAAATTGTGCCTGCCAAGTGAATTATTTTTAATTTAAACTCAGGCCAGAGAGAGGGCTCCAATTACTGGTAGCCTAAAAATATTGTCAATCTTGGATTGTGTTCTGAGGATTGACAAGTGGATGCAAATGACCTTCCAAAGTGCCTAGCACATAGGTAGGACATTTAGCTAGCCTTAATTATATAATGTTTGCTAACTGGAATATCACAGTATACTGTAAATATGCAAGCTTTCTTAATAATGAGTATTTGCTTTGAGAAAATAGTTCTAATCACAATAGAGTAATATAGGCATAGTGATAAAATTTATAATAGATTTAGATAAGTTTCATTGCCCAAGTTGGTTCTGATTATTTGCTTATTATCTCTTAAAAATAATCCCCCAAATAACAGTCTACTTTTTTATATTAAATTAATTATTCCTAAAAGTAGAAAATAGAAGAAAAAATTTCTCTTAACATAAGATCTCAGTGTAGTTGAAGTGCATTAAATTCCTTCCTCCATTTATTTTGAAAACTTATTTAACATACACAGTAGGTTGGGCTCCACATGTAGCAAATACAACAGGTGCTTTTGTTGCTTATCATCCCATAACAGCTGTGCTGGACAGTCCCTAGCCACACCACTAGATCCCATCTCAGCTGTCTCTGCTTTTATGTCTTGGACTTTTTCGGAAGCTGAGGGATCTTATTGGGGACACATGGAGGATAACTACCCACAAATCAGCCCAGACATGTGGGTAGGCTAATGCACTGAGGGCAACCTTGACCAAAGTAGACAAGAGGCAATGTACAGCTGCTCCATCTCTCAAAGATTCCAGGGAAAACTTCTGATGTGCCTTCTTCCTAGATCTTCAGAAGGTCCTCATAGTTACCTGTTGCTGTGTAACAAACTACCCCCCAAATCCAATGGCTTGAAACAGCAGCACTTGTTTATTAATTACTTATTATTCTGTGGCTCAGGAGTTTAGGAATGGCTTATCTGGGTGGTTCTGTCTCAGGACCACTCATTAGGTTGCAACCAAGGTGTCAGTTGGGTTACAGTCGTATGAAGACTTTACTGGGGCTAAAATATCCTCTTCCAAGTTCCCTCATGCAGCTGTTGCCCAGAGGCTTCAGTTCTTCTCCATGTAACCATCTCCACAGTGTTGTCTGAGTATCCTTACTACAGAGTAGCTGGCTAGCCCAAGAAAAGTAAAGAGAGAAGGAAGAGAAGGCACGCTTCGACCATCATTTAGCAGTGAATCACTAAGTACAACATACACTCAGTGAGAGAAGAAAATAGAGAAAGGTGGGACTGAGCCCCAGCACACACAGTGCTTACCCTTATTTTAAAAGTTTACTGACTCTCCTGTAATCAACCTTAGTCAATATTTTCTATAGTACAGGCATAGGTATTTTATAGTACATACATACATTCATTCATGCACACATATGTATATACCAAGCTACCTATGTTTAAAATAGAATGGAAAGAGTAAAGTCTACAGTGATTTAGCTCTATGATGCCTGAGTCTTTCTATTTTCCCTTTTTCTTTGTGGCTACGGTTGCTTTTAGATCAATTGGCCTTAATTTCACTGAAAATACTAATAGATATCCATTAAATTATCTCCTATAAATCAACTACTAATAAATAGTAGTTGATAATACATGACTACTTCATGTCCTTAATTTTATAATAAATGACTACTTCATGTCCTTAATAATAAATAAATGACTACCTCATGTCCTTAATTTTATTCTTAATTTGGCAAATATTAACTGTACAATATGGACTCATGTGTATTATATAGAGATATGTATTTTTCACTTTTCTTTCTTAGATGTCTCCCTGGATTTTCTGGGAAATGTTGTGAAATTAACATAAATGAAAGTTCTTCATCACCATGTTTAAATGGTGTGAACTGTGAGGATCACATCAATGGATATATTTGCAAATGTCAACAAGGTAATTATGAAAAAGTAATGATCATGCAAATGTCACATTTATTTACAAAAGATATGTATTTATATATGTGTATTGTATATGTGTGTGTTTGTACAATTTTGACAATCAACTCGCTAATAATATTGTTGACTATCAACCAGCTTCTAAGCGATGATTTCACTTAAAAAATATGAAATTGTTGTTCTGTGATACTAGTAATCAATACTTTAGGCTATCAGCAAGAAATCCTGGTGCTTAGATCATGATATCTCACTACAGGTATTTTCAAAATTTATGTAAGCTTCAAATTCCTGATCTTTATCTATATCCATTGTGCCTGGTGCACAAGTCCTTTGTAAAAACTGGCTCATTAATATTTACATTATTATTACTGCCAATGGTCATCAGTATAGAGATGGACTGGTTGGGTGAACTGATTTTATTCAAGGGAAACTTTTTTATTAACAACAGGTCTTTTGGGCCATTTCTGCCTTTGCTCATATTATCTTTAACTGTATACTGATATAAACAAGTTGTGTCCAGGAATCTTCTTCCCTCTCTTTCCTCTAGTTTTCTAAACTTTCAAATTTGTTGCTTTCTACCTATGACTTCTATCACTCATCTTACCTTCAAAATTTAGTTTCATCCACCCCAAAATGATGTTGAATACGTGAATTTCCTTGAGCAATAATAATCTCACAAAAATATATGTGGGGGATATTTTTGGTCACTAAAAAAGAATTCTCACTATTCACAAACCCCAGAGAAGACTTAAGATAGCTTGTGGATACCCCAGAGTCTGGGCTCCTGGTTATTTGAACCTCCAGAGGAAATAACAGCCAATAATTCTTACAGATAAAAGAAGTAGAATAAAGCTTACAATGCTCTGATAGAAGAAATAAATACCATTTAAAAGCTATTGCTTTTCCCCCAAAAAATATCTTTCTCAGACAGCAGAAGCCAGAAGAACTACAATCCTGCAGACTGTGGAACGAAAATCACATTCACAGAAAGATAGACAAGATGAAAATGCAGAGGGCTATGTACCAGATGAAGGAACAAGACAAAAGCCCAGAAAACCAACTAAATGAAGTGGAGATAGGCAACCTTCTAGAAAAATAATTCAAAAAATGATAGTGAAGATGATCCAGCACCTCAGAAAAAGAATGGAGACAAAGATCAAGAAGATGTAAGAAATGTTTAACAAAGACCTAGAAGAATTAAACAACAAGCACATAGAAGAATTAAAGAACAAACAAACAGAGATGAACAATACAATAACTGAAGTGAAAAATAAACTAGAAGGGATCAATAGCAGAATAACTGAGGCAGGAGAAAGGAAAAGTGACCTGGAAGACAGAATGGTGGAATTCAATGCTGCAGAAAAAATTAAAGAAAAAAGAATGAAAATAAATGAAGACAGCCTAAGAGACCTCTGGGACAACATCAAATGCAACAACATTCACATAATAAGGGTCCCAGAAGAAGAGAGAGATAAAGGACCTGAGAAAATATATGAAATGATTATAGTAGAAAACTTCCCTAACAAGGAAAGGAAATAGCCAGCCATGTCCAGGGAGTGCAGAGAGTCCCATAAAGGATAAACCCAAGGAGAAACATGCCAAGCCACAGAGTAATCAGATTGACAAAAATTAAAGACAAATTATGAAAAGCAACAAGGGAAAAGTGACAAATAAAATACAAGGCAACTCCCATAAGGTTAACAGCTGATTTCTCAGCAGAAACTCTAGAAGCCAGAAGGGAATGACACCATATATTTAAAGTGATGTAAGGGAAGAAACTACAACCACGATTACTCTACACAACAAGGGTTTCATTCAGATTTGATGGGGAAATAAAAAGCTTTACAGACAAGCAAAAGCTAAGATAATTCAGCATCACCAAACCAGCTCTACAAGAATGGCTAAAGGAACTTCTCTAAGTAGGAAACATAAGAAAAGGAAAGAACCTACAAAAACAAACACAAAACAATTAAGAAAATGGTAATAGGAATAGACATATTGATAATTGCCTTGAATGTGAATGGATTAAATTCTCCAACCAAAACAAACAGGCTCACTCAATGGATACAAAAACAAGACCTATATATATGCTGTCGACAAGAGACCCACTTCAGACCAAGGGACACATACAGACTGAAAGTGAGGGGATAGAAAAAGATAGTCCATGCAAATGGAAATCAAAAGAAACCTGGACTTGCAATACTCATATCAGATAAAATAGATTTAAAATAAAGAGTGTTACAAGAAACAAGGAAGGACACTACTTAATGATCAAGGGATCAATCCAAGAAGAAGGTATAACAATTATAAATATCTACGCACCCAACATAGGAGCACCTCAACACATAAGGCAAATGCTAACAGCTATAAAAGAGGAAATCAACAGTAACACAATAATAATAAGGGACTTTAACACCTCACTAACACCAATGGACAGATCATCCAGACAGAAAATTAATAAGGAAACACAAGCTGTAAATGACACAATAGCCCAGATAGATGTAATTGGTATTTATAGGACATTCCATCTGAAGACAGCAGATTACACTTTCTTCTCAAGGGCACATGGAACATGATCCAGGATAGATCACATCTTGGGTCACAAATCAAGCCTTGGTAAATTTAAGAAAATTGAAATCCTATCAAGCACCTTTTCCGACCACAACGCTATGAGATTAGAAATAAATTACAAGGAAAAAACGTAAAAAGCACAAATACATGGAGGCTAAACAATACTTCACTAAATAACCAAGGGATCTCTGACAAAATCAAAGAGGAAATTACAATATACCTAGAGACAAATGATAATGAAAACATGACAATCCAAAACGTATGGGATGCAGCAAAAGATGTTGTAAGAGGGAAGTTTATAGCAATACAATCCTACCTGAAGAAACAAGAAAAATCTCAAACAATTTAATCTTACACCTAAAGGAACTAGAGAAAGAAGAACAAACAAACTCCAAAGTTAGTAGAAGGAAAGAAATCATAAAGATCAGAGCAGAAATAAATGAAATAGAAACAAAGAAAACAATAGCAAAGATCAATAAAACTAAAAGCTGGTTCTTTGAGAAGATAAACAAAATTGACAAACCTTTAGTCAGAATCATCAAGAAAAAGAGAGAGAGTACTCAAATCAATAAAATTAGAAATGAAAAAGGTGAAGTTACATTGGACACCACAGAAATACAAAGCATCATAAGAGACTACTACAGCAGCTCTATGCCAATAAAATGGACAGCCTGGAAGAAATGGACAGATTCTTAGAAAGGTATAACCTTCCAAGATTAAACCAAGAAGAAATAAAAAACATGAACAGACCAATCACAAGCAATGAAATTGAAACTGTGATTAAAAATCTTCCAACAAACAAAAGTCCATGACCAGATGGCTTCACAGGTGAATTCTATCAAACATTTAGAGAAGAGCTAACACCCATCCTTCTCAAACACTTCCGAAAACTTGCAGAGAAAGGGACACTCCCAAACTTACTCTACGAGACCACCATCACCCTGATACCAAAGATAGTACAAAAAAAGAAAATTACAGACCAATATCACTGATGAATATAATGCAAAAATCCTCAACAAAATACTAGCAAACAGAATCCAACAGCACATTAAAAGGATCATACACGATGATCAAGTGAGATTTATAACAGGGATGCAAGGATTCTTCAATATATGCAAACCACTTAACGTGATACACCATATTAACAAATTGAAGACTAAAAACCCTGTGATCCTCTCAGTAGATGCACAAAAAGCTTTTAACAAAATTCAAAACCCATTTATGATAAAAACTCTCCAGAAAGTGGGCATAGAGGAAACCTACCTCAATATAATAAAGGCCATATATGACAAACCCACAGCAAACATCATTCTCAAAGGTGAAAATCTGAAAGCATTTGCTGTAAGATCAGGAACATAACAGGATGTCCATTCTCACCACTATTATTCAACATAGTTTTGGAAGTTTTAGCCACAGCAATCAGAGAAGAAAAAGAAATAAAATGAATACAAATTGGAAAAGAAGTAAACCTGTCACTATCATGGATGACATGATACTATACATGTATAATCCTAAAGATGCCATCAGAAGACTACTAGAGCTAATCAATGAATTGGTAAAGTTGCAGGATACAAAATTAATGCACAGAAATCTTTTGCATTCCTATACACTAACAACAAAAGATCAGAAAAATAAATTAAGGAAACAATCCCATTCACCATTGCAATAAAAAGAATAAAATACCTAGGAATAAACCTACCTAAGGAGACAAAAGACCTGAATGCAGAAAACTACAAGACACTGATGAAAGAAATCAAAGGTGAAACTAACAGATGGAGATATATACCATGTTCTTGGATTGGAAAAATCAATATTGTGAAAATGACTATAATACCCAAAGCAATCTACAGATCCAATGCAATCTCTATCAAATTACCCATGACATTTTTTACAGAACTAGAACAAAAAATCTTAAAATTTGTATGTAGACACAAAAGACCCCAAATAGCCAAGGCAATCCTGAGGAAAAAAAAAACAGAGCTGGAGGAATCAGGCTCCCTGACTTAAGACTATACTACAAAGCTACAGTAATCAAGACAATATGGTACTGGCACAAAAACAGAAATATAGATCAATGGAACAGGATAGAAAGCCCAGAGATAAACCCATGCACCTATGGCCAACTAATCTATGACAAAGGAAGCAAGGGTATACAATGGAGAAAAGACAGCCTCTTCAATAAGTGGTGCTGGGAAAACTGGAAAGCTACATGGAAAATAAAGAAATTAGAACACTCCCTAACACCACTCACAAACATAAACTCAAAATATATTAAAGACCTAAATGTAAGACAGGACACTATAAAACTCTTAGAGGAAAACATAGGCAGAACACCCTTTGACATAAATCACAGCAAGATCTTCTTTGACCCACCTCCTAGAGTAATGAAAATAAAAACAAAAATAAACACAAAGATCTAGTGAAACT